GGAAAACATCAAAGAACCAGAGACAAATCAGTCAACAGCAAAAGACAGCACAATAATATAAATACATTAATATATTGGGTAATTGAAATCCATATTTGATGGATACAGCATAAAGCAGCATCACAAGGTTGCTTCATTACATGGGAAAGATCTTAAATTTTTGCCTAACCAGAAAACTATTGAGAACAATTAGATCTTTGTACTAGGTTCAAGCAAAGCACATCTGGACATTTATGTTTAAACTTCCTGCAACTATTTTTAAAGACAGTTACTTTGGTCAACAAAAACTACAAAACAAAATTAACTAGAAGAGATTAAAATTCAAGTTTGCATTTCTAGTAGAAATTTGTATTTTAAGTAACAGCATGTTTAAAATAGCTTTCTAAGCTTGTTGGTATCTGACAAGACCTGATCTCTGAATAGCATTTTGTACAGAACAACTTCTGGAATCTATATGTTATACACAGAACCTCTCAGCCTTCACTGCAGGAATCTGACCTTTTACAACAAAACCAGAGACTTAACTTTTAAATGTTAAGAAAAATCTTCTGTAACCTGCATATTAGTCTGGATTGGCATCTGTTAAGATGTTTTAAAAATCAACAAAACTTAGCATATTTACCCAAGAGCAAGTAAAACCAAGAGCACCACACTGCAAACATGGACTAAAGACTCATGTGGAAGCAAGGCCCCTAGGACTTTTTTTTGCTTTTCCCTACTATTTTGAAAGGAATTGGGGTCAACAGTCTGCAGCAGTTCTTGCAGGGGGACAGACTCACAAATGCAATTGTCTGCTAAGAAACATAAGTAACACATCCAAAAAGAATTCACCAAGCCCCTGTGGTAACAGATCTTTAAAGAGACTGGTCTAATCCCTCTGAAAATCCCAAGAAACTGAAGTTTAGTGAAGGGACTTCACGGGCACAGCATGCCCCAGAGTGCTGTGCAGGGACACAGTTCACAGGACCCCACCAGGATGCTGTGGTGGTGCTTGCAGTGAGCTCCTGCACAGCCAGTGGGTGCCCCCAGTGCCACAGCACTGCTGTGGCAAAGGTACCACAGGGGCACTTTGGGCACCCTGCACCACTTCAGCTGAGTGATGTAAAAAAAAAAAATTACCAGGCTGACCTTGCCAGAAGCCTATTAAGAGGTTTCACAGAGCCTGTTCTGACAAGCAAGCTGCAGACAGAGTAACTTTCAAGACAAAGTGTACCAATAAAAACAGTCATACCATCTCCAGTTGTTTCCTCCATGACAGGGGATAACTAGACCATGTACCCTCTAGCAGATCATACCATCTCCAGTTGTTTCCTCCATGCCAGGGGATAGCTAGACCATGTACCCTCTAGCAGAAGCACCCAGCCCACTCAAGTAACAGATTTATCACAGCTACTAGGATGACATTTGAGCTGCCAGTTAGCTCACAGACAGTATGGACATCCCCTCTCCTTCTCTAGACACCCTTTTACGAATGACTTATGGTAACAGGGCACCTGACAACAGACCATCCCACAGAAAATTCTTCATCAACATCCACAATTTTGTTCTCCTTGCATCTTAGTGTCTATCATTAACTAACAGCCATAGTGATTATCCTTGTACACTAATGACAAGCTCTCAAGTGCAAAACCAAAACCCTGTCTCTTCAGGGTGGTGAATGGAGAGGGGTAAAGGGGGAAGAGGACAGCTATAGAGGATTGGTGCTTCTCACTGCCACCCACCTTGGTCCCTGAATAGAAACAGCATCAGGGAACTTTGCAATTTAGCCCCTCCATTTTACAGAAAGACGCAAGTTACAAAATTCTGCCCAAGAAAATTGTGTCTGTTTCATAACTGTGTTAATATCACGGAAAGATGTCCACATTTCCATTTAAATTGACCTCAGACAGCAAGTTTCTTCAATGACTTGCAACATAATATACCTAGAAGCAACACTGCTTTGAAATCTGTCTATTTGATGAAGCTTTAAAGGGGAAATTTCATGAAGAATTAAGTTTTGCCAAGGGAAAGACAAGGCACATACACCCAAGAAGCTTTTAAAACCTTACATTGTTTGACATTTTAAAGCTAACTTTTTTTAAACTTCTTAAAAGATTAGAAAGTCACACTGAAATAGAGCTAGGCTTCAATTAATGAAAAGCATCCAAGTCAATATAGCAAAATCCATTTTACTCCTTCAGAGCATTCAGCCCAGAACACTTAACACTAAACAAACACCCTGTCAATGCCATGGTAGGAGAGGACATAAGGTAACTCAATTCTAGATCATTCTGAAGAGATTACAGGTCTTTGAAAGGGGGAGGGGAAGGCAAAAGGGAGGTTATGTTTTTGTTTCATACTTAAAACATTACCTCCTGATTACCTCCCTTGTTAATCAAAAACATTCTGTACATTCTTTCATCTTAGAAAGTAACCATTAAAACAGACCTATCTAGCTCTTAAAAAAAATAAAAAGTGAGGTAATAAGTTGTGAATCAAAGTGTTCCCTTCCAAATAAAACATCTGCAAGGGGAAAGGGGCAAAAATAGCTTTTAACAGAACTGCAGATAGGTAATCAAATGCCTTAGTTCAACAGGGAGTAACAAGTATGAGCACAGAGATTGAGATTTGTCCTTGTAGCGTTTAATCCAGCTCATATTGTGCAATTTATCTCAGCACGGTCAGAGCAACCACAGCTCTACTCCCACTAGATGGAAAATTCCACTCAGGCTTAAGTGAAACTCTTCAAAAGCCCAATTTGAATTCCTTCTGCTCAGCTTAGTTTTGTTCACAGAACTGCTCATTCGCTTGCACAGTATTCTGTTCATCTTCTCAGAGAAACAAATGAATGCCACTCCATTGTGTGTTGAGCCCTTGACAGGTTTTCAAGACCAGTTACAGGTTACAGTCACCTTTCCTCTCTCCTTATGGTATAGTGGTACATTTCCTTGACAGTGGCACAGCAACAGAAATGTACAAATCTCACAATAAAAATATGATAATTAAATGTGATAATCACATTGGACTACCATGCAATTATAGGTATACACAGATGTTATAGAATACAAGACTGCATTGAGCAAGTCAAAGGAACAGTTCATATATACAATTTGTCTTGATGCATAGGGCCTTGGGCACCAGACCTTATCTTTGATCTTCTCTAAGAGGTTTACATTACAACAGTCTTCATTACCAGCTTCTGGAGAACAACTAAATGAACAGGAAAGAATTTTACTTTTGTTCATTTGCTATTGTAGAATGGAAAATAGGAAGGGAAATAGAAGAGAAAATATGTTTATCTTACTGAGGTAAATCATCTCTATGTATTCCAACTAACACATCCAGAATGAACAGAAAACAATCATGACATTCACAGAACAAGGGCATAAGAACTGTACTCAGACATCCAGCCAGTAACAGCACACTGAGCTATATCAGAAACACATTTCCCCTGCAGAATCCTTGGTATTGTCCCCTGGCAACCATAAAAATATCAACGCTTTGCTAAGTAACCAGACAGAAAATGCAGGTCTGTACACCCACATACAATTTTCTGTCTGAAATATGTAAGAATTTTATTCTAGCCTTATATCTGTATCTGCAGCACTTACTGTCAAACTCAAGGGAATGGCAATGGAGAAAACATCATCTTCATCTGCCACATCACTCCTCTTTAGGAATACAGTTAATGAAAGGTAGGTTCAATGATACAGGTCTCTTAAATACTCCAGGTTCTGAGTTTAAAGATTTTACTAGGGTTTTCTCCACACATCTTCTCGAGGTTATACAATAATAAGCTAACTAAGTGTGAAAAGTTATCTTGCTGGTGTACATATCTTGCCAAAAGTAGTGGTCATAATGTAAATATAAAGGCAAAACTCAAAAGCTGTGACCAAAAGCTTATCAAAAGTTAAACTATTACTGATAACAGAAACTATAAATTTTATATTTAATGAATAAATCAATAAACAAGCATTATCCAGTGCATTAATAAAGACATAAAGCCAGACCTAATTGATGATATAACAATCAGTTTTAAACATTAACCTCAAAAAAACATTTAAGATTCAGCTATGGCAGAAAGCCAAACATTTTTAATTGTTAAATGCAGTGCATTTAAAAACTCCTACTACAGATTTGAAAATTCAAAATACACTGTAAAAAGCAAGAGATACAGCACATCTACTGTGAAGAATAAGCAAGAGATATTATTTTCTAAAATAAACAGTAGTTTAACATAAAAATTGGAAGACCTTAGGATAACAGCAACTGTCACGTTTCACTACTAAAGGAGCAAGATTAAGTACAGAAGTTTCTCAGCCTGCTGCACTGAGGCTTTCACACAGATAGCCAGACTTCCTCTTAAATACCAATTATGCTCATTTCTTCTCACCCATCACAGCCCTGGTTCCCCTATCAGGTTCCCCATCCCAAACCAGAGGCATATAAAGTAGCAAAAATATCTGCTGAGTATCTTCATGTAACTACCAAAGAAATGAAAATTACACTGTATAAAAACTTGAAAATTTGTCTTAGAAATGTAGCAGATATAGGACAGATCCATATCTTTATCTAGCTATGTATGTATATACCTGGATGGATATGGAAAGATACATCTACACATATCTACAAATCTCCATATTAGACATTCCATTTACGTGTTACAAACAATCATTCTCCAGGACTGAAAAAACCATCAGAAGATTGTATAGCATATCTTGCATTGCTAAAATCTGTCAAGCTCATCAGTTTTCACCTACCCTCCCTGTAGCAGCAATCATGTTGCACAGACCTGGCAGATGAAGACTTACAAATGAGCCATACAATAGCTTGCATGAGTTGAAATTCTTTCTAATCCCTCAAAACAAGTACTAATAACATAGTGAAGTCCAACCAACATCAGCTTTTTCCTTTTAGAATTAAAACTGAAGATAAGCTTAAAAGGGCATTTTATAAAAAAATTCACACAGCCTCAAGAAAGAGCTCCTATCACAAAAAAAATCACCACAAAATCACCTTACCTTATAATAAAAGGGACAAAAGGTGCCATGCTGAGTGCTGAGTGAGTGCCATCCATTGGAGATGGATACAGCCTTCCCAGGATTAAAAGCAAAAGAAACAGGCTTGGATGGATTTTCAGCTCTTCAGCTTCACTAAATAAAAAAAGGGGTTAGAAGCATTTGGTGAAAAATGCATCCTCCTTCATGTTAGTCTTGAGCCTCTTCCCCACAAAACAGCCCCTTGCATTTCTGTTTCCAGGAGGTATGCTAGGCTGATCATTACAAGAGAGAGCAAACCCTGCTGGGATCAAACATGGCATCCAGTTCTCCTGCAGGGGACCCCTGTAATGAAGGCACTTAAAGCTGTGCTGCCTTCACTTTCCTACATTATGCCAAGCCTCCTTTATTCCCAATAATGGTGAGCTGCCTTCATTTTTAAATAATATTAAAAACCTGCACAGATAATGTTTCTCTATGAACTGAGAAACTGAGCTAAGTTATAAAAAGGTGAGTTTAAAAATGTTTTTTTATCAGTTTGGAAGGAAATGTGTATTTAGTAAATAGAAGGCTTTATTAAAGAACAGTTCTTGCCATTGACAACCAGTGGCTACTCTTCATGTTGTAAAAACAATCCAAAATCCAAGTTAAAATCAACACTTCTTGATTTATTTAATGGCTAATAATAAGACACAAGCCTTAAGCCACTTTGAAAAAGCATTCAAGGCCAACATTTCAGACTGCAGCTTTCAATCTTTTCCAATTGCAAGACTTGACAACATTTAGCAATGATGACCCTGTCACCTTTCAAAATGTCAGGTAAAGCAGACTACTGCACTGAACATACACACCCTCTTTACTTAGAGCAGAGACAGCAAAACATGCAATAACTGCTGAAACTCCAGCTTCCAACTATCCACCTTAGGCCTATTAAACAGCTGAACCTCACCCATAAATCAGCTGTTCAGCTTCCATGGTTTATACCACAGCATTTTAAGAAACAACAAAGCCAGCACTGGTTTACTTTAAAAGTTCATGAACCTAAGGGCAACAGCGTCATCCCAAACAGTATTGTCTACATTGATCAAATTGGTGCTCTCAGCCATCATTTGTGGAGTCCTTAAAAAGAGATCAAGGACCTGCCCCAGAGTCAGTGTGCCACAGGCTGGAAAGTGTTCATTTAGGGTTACATGAGGCCTATGACCCTGTACCACTTAAACATGCTAGGAAGCCTCATCATTAAACATGAGACAGTCAAACACCCACTTTCTGTTTCCCTGAAAAATATAAGTTCTGTAACATCTGATCCTAGAGACACAGCAACTATTAATTACTCAACAGTAGTTCCATCTTCAGAGACTTACTGCAATGTGCAAAAGTTAAAAGGGAAAAGACTAGCTGAACTGTATCATTTCAAGAAACACTGATGTTTACAACAGCATTGGGGTGTATATGACACAACTCAGTTTAACATTTTCATTGCACTGTATATTTCAAAGTTTTCTCAGACATCATCTTACCTGTTCAAAGCACTGGTTACAACCTCCAGCTGCTTGAGAAGGAAAGGATAAAGACTTGGAAACCGGGAAAAAAACTCCCTTCCTGTCATTCTGCAGAAACAAATGAAGAGTCACAATCAGCATGCTGCAGTAATTAGTTGCACTCAAAATACCAGTTTACTTGTTGGGTTTCTGATGCTACAGTGAAGCTGGAAAGCAAGAAGAACCATGCACACATGATAAACTCCTTTCAAAGAAGGCACAAGGTTTTCATTAAAAATGATGATCCAGTGTAGTTTACACAGGCCAAGTCACTCTGTATGTACGCACACTAACACTCTGACAACTAAACTGGTCAGGCCTTTTTGAGAAAAGGGGATCTTAGCCCCTTAATCACACTAAAATGAAAAGATACAACAGCTTAAATTCTGGCACCATGTTAACAACGTTCTGGTTGAATGAGAGAAAAATACACTTCTTTTAGCATGGCTTATGTACTAAATAGCTAATAAAATATACTTAATAGACATGTGCTAACAGATGCTCATGTTTTACTGACACTAAAAAGCATCTCAGAATAGTAACTCACAGAAGATTTGTGATGTGCAGTGGCAGAAGTGTCTGACCTTTCATTAGGCCTCTTTATACCGTGCTGCTTCCAGCACATGGCAGTGGTGACATTTCCAAGCCAATGTTTTTGCTTCTGTAGATGGAGTAACCACATTCAAAACAGAGCAATATACAAACACCTATTCGACTCATCCCTCGCCAGAATTAATAAGGCAGCATAGTTCAAGCTGCGACAGCAAATCCATCCAAGCTAAAATGAGATAAGTAGAAATCTTATGTATTTGTTTGTTTCATAATCTTTTGAGCAGATAAAAGGTGGCTTCGTGGTTTATAGGAAATCATTTAGCATCATCTAAGCAAGAACCACATGGATGTTTCAGTGGGGAGATTCTAATTAGACATATATGCTATGCAGATAAAACAGACTTCCTTTAAAAATAAATAAATGAAAGGCCATCCCTTTAGAAAAAAGCAGCCAACTGCAGAGTTTGCTAGCCACATGATCAAACAAGATAAATAAGTACATGTTAGCATGTTTCCAATGCAAGGCTTCCAACAAGCAGATAGATCCTGGTCTAGAAAAATAACACAATGAGATGGCAAGACTGACTGTGCATAAAAATAAGCAGACCAAAAAAAAAAGAAAAATCACACATGAGTAAATGAGCACATGGCAAGCATCAGCACAGCTTCTTCCAGCACTCAGCTAACATAACATGCCTTAGCCACAGGCCACAGAATAAACACAGCAAAATCAGATTGCGAGATGGAAACAAATGTTCAAAGACGTACAGGAAACTTTCTCTAGGCACACAAGAACAATACTGTGAATATATATTTACACCATATAGTGAACTGTTATAACTAAAAGCCTGTCCAAGGATTCTGCAGCAGCTGTGGTATCTACAGAAAAGATTTCAGTTAAAACATGAGATGGAAGCATTTGAACTGTGAATTAATAAAAACTGAAGCACTAATGAGGGTGGTTTAAAGACATCAACACTGATAATCACTGGTTATTTAAGCAGAAGACACCCATGTAATTTCTTCTAACAGCTTCTTCACAACAACTTCCATTTTTTGCACATGTGTAGCAAACTGAGATCTAAGTGTATCAAGTTGAACAGCCCATCTTACTGAGTTTTCATATGCAAAACATTAAGAACCCATCATTTTTTAAACAATTCCATCCAAAAATGCTGTGACACCTCCATCTCTTGTGTCACAGACTGCATGAAGCAAAAGCAGTATTGGGGTTAGGTTTCCTATGGAATGGACAACCAGTGCTTCGAGGTTTAAGAGAGGACTACATACAAGTAGCATCTCACTGAACAAGTCCTTGTAGCAGGTCCATTTCTAGTGTATTAAAAATTCAGTAACCACGTTTGAATAAATATTAAATAATGGAACTGAATATCCTTTAAAAGCCTCAAAATTCTTTGTAATTAGCATAGTTTCATGAATCTTTTTGACAAGAAAAGAAAACTATTGAAGTGGGTGACTTACATAACCCCCCATTTGGTTTACTGCTCCACAGCTTACATGAGGGGAGAAGGCAGGCTAATCAAAACCATTAATCAGCAGTATCTGCAGAAAAGAGGGCCACAGGCACTTTCAAAAAAAGAGACACAACTGTCTAAGCAGACAGGGGTTGATTTTTTAGGGCCTCCAGTTCAGAAAGGAAATAAGAAAGACCACACATTAGCAGAACTGCTGCCAAATGAAAAGGTGTTCTCAAAAATACAAAGCACCAATTTAAGTGTGACTCCACGACCTGGGGATGTGAAGGCAGGGAGATGTGCAACTGGGAATAAGCAGAAAACAAAACAGCCAGGCAGAACAAAATAGAGGTATTTAGTCGTTTCATTTTTGATTACTGACAACTGGGAATAAGCAGAAAACAAAACAGCTAGGCAGAACAAAACAGAGGTATTTAGTCATTTCATTTTTGATTACTGACCATGCCTTTTGCTCCTGGAAACATGTACACATTATCAGGCACACACAAATCTTTGTGTACAATAACCAAGACTGGAACAACAAAAAATGTAATGGTTCTGCTTTACAAAAATGTTAATGACACTAAGCCACATCTTTTCTATTCGTTTCATCCAAAAACACACTCCTTTGAAAAATGAACACCAACACTTTAAGATGTGTCATGCATGTTAGTGATATAAACAGATTCATGCATGTACATAGACACACATCTTGTGAGTTAGGTTTCATAGTTAATAAGCAATCCATGTCTTTAAAAGAAGATAAATCCTCGACATACCTATAAAGGAATGTATCAAGTGGACTAAAACAACCCAAAAGGCACTGCTAACAGTTTTCATGAAACAGACTTTCCTCCTATTCTAAAATATATCTCACAAGGAATTACAGGTTTAAATTAAAAATATAGATAACTATCTTCCCATTAGTCACTGACATAGTTCAAACACAGAATTTTGGCAATACAGCTACCATAATTAAATTCTTAAACCAAACATTTTGCAGATCACAAGATTTTACATCTACTCACCCTAAAACATGTTTTTAAGAGAGGTAACTGAGAAGACCCTTAAGATACTAGCATTTTTTCCCATGTCCAGCTGAAATTATTTTTATATTGCTTCAGAGCTCATCTTTGACAGTATGTTCAACCACAGACTCTGTAACAGCATTTTCTTCTTTTCTGTTAGTAACTCAAAGTAGCACAATTTCACAATCCAGAATTTCAAAAGGGGTGATTACTGAGACCTAAACAGTGCACTAGTAGAAGGTTACTTACTGAAATAGGAAGTACAGCAATGAAACAGAAAAGTTATCAGTGGGCAGATGATGCTTACAATAAAATCCCTCTGCCCAATGCAAAATGTCATGCAAGCACATAAAAAATGAAGCTCGATGCAGAAAGCCTGAGAGAGAAACTAATGGGAGCACTCGTATTCTCCCAAATTCACTCGTAAAAGAAATTAGTAAAAACTGTATACATGCAGAATACTGCAGTACATAAATAGGAAGATACAATATTTATGTCTTGGATACTTTGCAGTTTAACAGTGTTAATGCTTTTCATATGAAAGCAATGCTGCACTAAAGCAAGAGACTAGAGTACAGCCCATTCACAAAAGGTTTAATTTTGATGGCTAGAGATCATATTCTAGCCCTAAGAAGAAAGACTGATAAAGAGTGTTTATGCAGAAAGACATACATGAGTTTCTTTTCCATTTTCTCTCAGGTTTCCCACCTGAATCACAGAATCAACCAGGTTGGAAGAGACCTCAAAGATCATTGAGTCCAACCCTACCGTGGTTACCAGACCATGGCACTAAGTGCCACATCCAGTCTCACCTTGAAAACCTCCAGGGATGGTGAATCCACCACCTCCCTGGGCAGCACATTCTATTAATGTTCCATTAAGAAAAAACAGACACAGAAGTATCTTCTATACCATGCCATACAGAATCAAGGGACACCCACCACTCCCAGCGATTCTCTGTATGCCCTTAAGTCAAATTCTCTCTTAAACAGACTCTGGAGCAAACATAAGTGGGGAGAAGAAAAGTCTTTCACAGAATATAGAGTTCATATAAGTCAGCAAAAAGGTACTCTGAAGGCCTGTGATGATATGAAGGACAGAATTTCACTGCTAGCAGTATGCCCTTGGAAGACAACAATGAATCACAACTAATTTACAAAAACAACTAATGATAGGAGTAAAATTAATTTTTTTTAAAAAGACAACTCAAAGCAGATTGTAAATCTATAAAACAATGAAAAGTCTACATTCAGCATGACATACAGTTTACAGTGTTAATAATCTTTCTTCAGGAAATAGGGAAAAATTAGATTTACTTTTTTCCTGAAATAACCTAACCCAGAAGCCTTTATTATACTCTCAACTGTCAGCAGTTCTGCCATTCATTTAGCACCAGAACTTTGGCTTTATCACTTTCCAGAGTAGAACCTAGAGTGGCTTAAATTAAGCTAAAAATCATGTACTTAGAAGTTTTCATTTCATCTGCTTTGCTTGTAGAGATAGTAATTACCATCAAACTTGCAGAACCAAATTCATAAATGCCTCTGAAAACACTGTCCCATCTCTGGTTGTTCTACATGTTATCTGTCTCAGTAGCAACTTGAGGCTACACGATGCAAGGGTCAGCACACATGTTTCTATACTTCGTGTCTTTCTAAATAAATATTCCATCTTTATGCATTATTTAACTGCATTTAAAAATATATTTGAGAATAAAACCATGGATGTTGCAGTGTACATTTTTAAGCTGTGCTGTACATTTAAGAGAATACTCCAGGAGATTAAAATTCTGCTGTGACACCAGGGCATATGTATCATTTTACTGCGATGTGTCAAAGATTACTTGCTTCTGTTCTTTCATTTATTTTTCAGAAGGATGAAGCTTTATAACCTTGTAGGCTGCCTTTAGTAAGGGACATATTAAAGAACATTTACAGTAAATATGTTCATAATTAAGTCGAGCATAGGTGAGACATAGAGACAATTAATCTTCTGAGGGCAGCATGGATCTCTG